ACAGTCCATGCTCCCTAGCTCTCTGCTAATGAAGTATTTGCTATGCATTCTTTATTTTGCATTTTATCACCCAGATCCCCCATATTTCATTTTTATCATCTAGCTACGAGTGGCACGCTAGGGACACATTTGCTTAAAAGTATACGCTTAGTACTCAAGAATGCATCAATATTACTTATCTCAAAGCAAGATTATGCCCATGCTATGTGTGTGGCAGAGAACATTTTCATCTGAGTGTGGCTTCCTGCTCTCCATAATAAAACATTCAACTAGGGATGTGAATCTCACATTTTTGAGCTCTTGAACAGAAACGGAGAGTTAGAGGAGAGACCACTTATTACAAATGTTAAAATTCTTGCACATAATGACATCTTTTCTCAATAATATTCACTGGAAAGGACATGATGCTGCACAGAATTTGGCAGGCTTCACGCCCCACACACACACAAAACAAGCAAAATATGGTGTGTGGGGTGAGTTAAAAGGAAAACAAAGCCAGGGTTGTATTTTACTGGGAAACTGGCAAATCTCAGTGAAGCAGAAGACATCTAGATGAGGTGTTTCGGTATGGCAAGCTTTAGAAAAGCATCATGAATGAGATTTATTGTGAATGCACATAGCTTCTCATCAGCTTATTCTCATTTGTGCTAACTGGTTAGAGACATACAGGACACCTACAGCCATAAATACAATCTTTATGTGAATCTATCATTTTTTGAAAAGTCTAGAAATTGCTATGAAGTTGCTTTAAGATATTACAGTGTCTGTCATACTGAATAAGAATATGTCTCAAGTTATGCAACTTTATCTAAAAATAAGTCAGAAACCAAGAAGTAACACACATACCACAATCCAAATAAAGATCCACGTAAAACAGTAGTCTAGAACTTCTGCTAAGGACTTCTCGTTATTGTGCTGCATTAGATGAAACCTTGCAGCCTCTATCCCAGGGGTGTCCAACCTTTCACCTTCCCTGGGCCACATTAGATGAAAATTTGGTTTGGGACGCAGCCCTGCTCCAAGCGCGCTTGCCAGCAGCTGCGATCTCAGACAGCAGAGGCTGCCAGCTTCGACTCCGGTGGCTTTAGGGGGCCGGGAGGGGTCCACCTATTGATGGGGATGGCGCAATGCAGTCACACAGGCCCCCTCTCCCCTCCCCTCCCCTCCCGCTCCTTCCTCTCTCTCCCCCCCCACCGTTGTGACATGCCCCAACCGCATTCCGGCCGCAAGCGCCGGAAGTGTAACTTGAAACCTTGAAATTTCTTTAAAAATAAAAAAATTGCACTGGGCCGCATTACGAGCCGGCCTGGGCCGGATGCAGCCCTCGGGCCGCAGGTTGGACAAGCCTGCTCTATCCCAATGGTTCCCAAATTTTTTCAAGTGACCACCCCATAGAATCAGAGAATCAGAGAACCGCTGAGTTGGAAAGGGTCTACAAGGTCATTGAGTCCAACTCCCTGCTCATGGCAGAAATCCAAATCAAAGCAGATGGTTGTCCAATTTTCTCTTGAATGCCTCCAGCATTGGAGTGCCCACCACCTCCCAAGATAATTGGTTCCGTTGACATACTGCTCTAACAGTAAATAACTTTTTCCTGATATTCAGCCTAAATCTGGCTTCCTGTAACTTGAGCTCATTATTATGTGTCCTGCACTCTGGAAACATCGAGAACAGTTCCTGCCTCTCCTCTGGCTCGCCTTACAGTGAATGATAAGCAGGCAAATTTTGTCTGTTGAATACTGGTTACCCATGGGATATTGATGGGATGTTTGATGGTGGAGCTACTTCTAACACTGACAGTAGTGCAGAATGGGGAGTATTCGTGAATTCCCAATAGGCGCACATTGTGCCCAGCATCACGGCAACTAGGGTCCACAGATTCACTTGCCAGACTGAGAGGTGCTTGTGGGGCCGGATCTGACTGCTGACCATTTAACTTAACAAGGATTTGATGTTTGGTGGGTGGGAGGGCCTCCCAGTCTTAGCCAGCCAAGCTGGGAAGAGCTCAAACCAGGGGGTTGTGACTCACCTGTTAGGGAGCAATGAAAGGGTAAGAAGTACCCTAGTTCCTGCCTGAGGAATCACAGTACATTTAGTCCCCTCAGCAGGATAAGGGAGGTTGAAAGTTATAATTAATAAAGTGTAGCCCTAGTAAACTCTGTATCGGTCTCTTTATTCCAGAAGTGGGAGGGCAATGAACTGTTTTGCATGAGATAAAAGGAAAGAGAATTCTTCCTGAAGTTGTTATACACTGGCTAAAATCTTGTTGTTTAGCAGAGTATGTTGCAACTAGAGTAAGCCCAGTGAATCAATGCAACTTGTGGAGGAGTTCAAATCCCTACTGATTCAACGGGCCTACTCTGGTTGTGGCTTACTGTGCTAATCAATTAGACTTCAGCCAACACACTATGGTTTATAGACTGGTGCAAAGGATCTACTTAAATTCACATAAGTGAATGCCAAATGAAAATCACGCGAAAGCTCTGCTTGCTTATGTTCTCCCTGTGACAATAAAGAAGTACAGAAACTCTCAGAAATTACTCATAAATGAGGAAAGCAATCTTAGATAACATTCTTCTCACATTCACAAATATTACCTAAATAAATTAACATACACACAATGAACTTACTCTCTAAGGTCAAACTTTCAAGGTTGTTTAGCAACAGAGAAAAATTACAAATAAAGCCAGGGATCTGGAAGCAAATCAGAGTGTTCTTCCTTTAGCTGTATTTTACTCCTCTAGAAATAGAACTCTTTTCTTTCTAGGCAATAGCTCTACAAAGGGATAGAAATTATAGTATGGTGTTCCCTTTTTAAAAGGGGTATGACAAAAGCATCTTTATATGTACACCATGGTGGCACTTTGCCTGCCCACTCAGAGCCATCAAATGCAGGCATTTGATGTAGAGGCCAAAGAGGGGGGGCTTAGTAAGAAAGCCTTTATTAGGCTGGCTCCCCACCAGTCTCGGCCTCTCTTGCAAGTGCTGCCCACTCGCCCACCCTTAAGAAGTACAAATGAGACTAGCTGGTCACTTTGGGGCTGGATGGGATTTTTTGGCTTGCTTCTGCAATTGACATGTGATAGGGAGCAGGTGTGTTCCACCCATCCCATTCTTACTTCATGTTATAATTAGGTGATGTTAGAAGGACCCATTAATGAGGCCACAACTGTGAGTAGTGTGAAATTAAGAGTTTTGGTGAGTTCCATTGGGGCACCCGAGGAGGATGCCAATCATTCCATCTCCCTGATTGGTGGAACAAGAAGTTATATGAAGGGGGGTGGGAGTTAAGGGGATCTCCCAGGTGTCTGTGCCCCTAGGGTCACGAGGCCGTGGGGGAATTCCTGCAGCTGAGCGGCTGAATACTTGCTAGACACAGGTCAGCATACTTCAGTAATAGGAACTTGCCCTTGGTGGTCTTATCCAGTGGTAAATGGTACACCGGAGTCAGAGGATAATTTCGCACTGCAGCAGGCCCCCTTGTGAAAGGGGAATTCAACGTCTAAATAGTTTAATAAAGTTGAGGCTCTAGTTTTATCCAACCCCTGTGTCTCAACTCTTAATTCTGGGCTGGGCAGGCAAAGGTTTTTTGAAAGAAAAGCAGAAAAATCAGAAACAAAACAATAATAAGCCCCTGCAAAAGAAGGCTATTAGGGATGAAAGGAAAATTTGTATACACACTGCAAACAACAACAGACTCATTTAATCTCTAGGAACACTTTGCATCACCATCACTAGAACTTTGTCATCTGTTGTGCTCCATTAATGTGTCATTTTAGATGACTTGGTTCAAGAGATGCTGATATCAACATGATGCAAATTTAAACTGAATCTCTGATGCTAGAATCCTAGCTGGTTGATAGTATATACTTTAATATATCTATATCAATATTTATATCTCTTGCATTGTTTGTCTATCGGCACTGAAGGACTGGGAAATATTGATGCAAGTGGCTCTCAGTCAGAGACCTAAACCGTGGTACCACTTCAATGGTGCAACGCTTCTCCTGACTAAACAGGTTATTTAGAATGTTATGCTGAACGAGGCGTCTCAAGTCATTAAAATATGTATATGAAAACAAGGAACCATCACAAATCAAGTCTGTATCGAGGAGTTAGAAACATCCCCTTTATGAAAAAAGCAAGAGTCACAGAGGAAACCAAGAAAAGATAAACTGAGACAGAAATATTCGGGAAAGAATTTTGAAATCCACTTGCATTTGCTAACGTTACATGTTCTAATATATGAGTTGCACAAAAGCCTGAAGCCTATTTAAATATTCTGCATAATGTGTAGCAATTCTACTCAGAAGAAATTTCCACTGATTTCAGTGGCCCTTACTTTAGTAATATTAATTAGTACAGCAGTATAGTCTCAAGCTGCATTGTTATAAATCATTTCTCCATGTGGAGAACTCTGTTGCCAGAATCTTCTTGAGAATTTCTGCACATGCAAAACATGTCCCATTTTGCAACTAGTTAACAACTGGTTACATGAAAGACAGTTGTCAGAAGGGGGAGACCTGCTTCCATATTTGTGGTTTCATACCATGTATCCTCAACAGGATTCTGGCCTGTGTCGCTTAGCTTGTAAACTCATTAATTGTCTTCTTTTATCCTCCCTTTGAACTATAATTGCCAGAATCAGAGCTCTTGTCACCAAAACTTAACATTTTCAAGTCTGCTCTGAGTTACAAAGAACTGGTCAGGATAATGATAAATAAGACTTTTTTAAAAATAGTATTTCATTAAAGCTCGTCATCAGACCATTATTATCGTAAGTTCACAGTCATTCAGACAAAACAGGGAAATTGATATAAGCAATTGGTATAATCCCATGCATTTGTGGTACAAGATGTCATTCACTTCAAATGCATCCATTACACACTTACTAGGGAGTAACCCATGCAGAAAACAAGACGGTGTACATCTGAGTGGACAGGTATACATTTCCACTATCAATTAAGTGAGCTTTTAGAAGGTTAAGCATTTACCTTTCCCACGTACTGGGGTTCGGAGCCCATGTATTCTTCCAGCACAAAGAACTGATTCCAGACCCAGCCTCGCTTGACCCGCACAGCAGCTGTCCTCCGCTCTGGCATTGTGGCATCATTTCCTCTCGTCTCACCTTCTAAAGTCTGTTGTGGTTGTGGATGAAGTGACATTAGGAGACCTCCATCGAACAGGAACCAGAGAAGCAGGGATAAGCAGTTCCTTGTAAGCATTGGCAATGGTTTCCCTACAGCAAGTAATTAAAAATTCCAACGCTGAATGCTGAGCCGAGGAATCCAGGTTTGAGACTGTCCGTGGGCATTCACCAATTAGCTTCGAATATATGTATTTTATTGTCGAAATGCTAATGCTGACATTAATCCTTCCGGTGACAAGGTTTCTGCCATGTAAAATTCCATCTAAAGGGACCTATAAAAGAGATTTACATGGTAACATGAAGTGATATAAAATTAGACTGAAATATTCATCCAAACTCTCACCTAGCTAGTTCCTCAAGATAGCGACTGAGAGTGAACCATGAAACAGAGCTTGAAGTATTATTAGTATTTTACACTGTCGCTCTGAGATGCAGCAGAACACTGCACAGTAACTGTATGGATGTTTCATTTGGCTTCTGCTTTGTATTATTTTAGTGTCTGCCTGAAGAGCAGCATGCAGCCTGCCCTTTATGGCCCAGTTATAAAATAAAGCTGCTATACACCAGTGAATTCAGATATTATTTACTCAAGATTCACATAGGAAAGGAAAAAAAAACCATTAAAAGCAAGAATGGACCAACCTATCAGTAGATGTGGTATTACTATTTATATATTATGTTTCACATAATATAAATACTAAGAAAGGGAGACCAGTCTACTCACCCTAAAAGAACTAGATAAGCAGAGAGAGTTTTGCCAATAATGCTGTCATTATTTTCAAGTGTACAAATTATATTAGATGCAACTAGGCACTGGATGATAATTTACCATCTAAGGTAAAGCAGCAAATGGTTACCTCACCCATGTCAATGTATGCAGGACCCCAACCCAGTCTCATTGATTAGGCACATGAGGCAAACACCGCTACCCACTGTGAAAATATTAAAATGACAAAATAAATAACTGTCAATTTGGTGCACTTGAACAGGGATCTAATACCAGAAGCCTTAAATATCTGCCAATTACTTATTCTCCTTCAGAATGTGTGTACCAAGAGAAACACAGGATGTAGAGCAGTGACGCCAAAAATATAATGCTATTCCATAAATGTAACTCGTTTCCACAGCTAAATGTCACGAAGGAAGGAGGAATTTGACACAGTGGAATTCTTTCCTCTGAGCCGAAGGAATGGTGTCCCATTTTCTTTAATGCAATTCAAAACACTATATCTTTCCCTACCCTTTGTGTGGGTTAGCTTTATAATGAACTTACTAGCAAAAACATTCTAAGAAAAGGAAACACAGCAAAGAGATTGCTACTCTTGGGTTCATCTCCACACTAGACTGTTAATAATATCCATTTATTTTTGTTGAAACAAAGAGGAAGGGGATGAAAAAAGCCCTCCTAAGTGCCATCTGAAAAAGGTTTGGGGATCAAAAGGTAATGCAAAATATTTTTTTCTCTCTGTGTCTCCCACAGACATTTTCTCTCTCTCTTGTACTCTCTCTCTCTCTCTCTCTCTCTCTCACACACACACACACACACACACACACAGAGAGAGAGAGAGAGAGAGAGAGAGAGAGAGAGAGAGAGAGAGAGAGAGAGAGAGAGAGAGAGAGAGAGAGAGAGAGAGAGAGAGAGAGAGAGAGAGAGAGAGAGACTGAATACATATTTAGATATGGAATACACTAATCCTTTCCTTAATCACAAAAAGGTCAAGATGTTTTCAGCAAGTACACCCTAGTCTTTCATGGGTTTGTGCACACTGTAAGTACTGCATTATTGTATGTTCAAAAATAAAGTAATTGAGAAATAAATTGGGAAAACAAAGATATGGTCAGAGGGTTTTTCCCAGTGAGAGGAAATTCTACCAATGTAGGGGTCCCAATAAAAAGGCCCTGTTATCAATGATGACTCATTCTGCCTCAGATTATGACAGAAAAGAAGGAAAATTTGTTATCCCAATGGGGAACCATGTAAGTCTTTAAAAGACTAGCGGTTTGAATTGAGCCAAGAAACAGACTGGCAAGTCACCACAAATGAAACAGCAAAGGAATTATTTATACTCTCCAATTTGACTGAATGATATCCTGAAATGTTCCAGTCAAGATTTTAACAAGGTAACCTGAAATATGTAAAAACTAGAATTAAGGTCACTGACTCTGGAGAATACAAATCATTAACTAGACTAGAAATCATTCTGTGGATTGCAAATGAAACTCTATTAATGGTGTTAATAAAAAATAATCATATGGTGCCCCTTCCTGAAGACAGTGAATAAGATGAACACAGAGATATGAACAGTCAAAAAGCAGAAGTAGGATTCAAGTTTTCTACAAATGCTCAAGTGTAATTGGACATCCATGCTGTTACACAGCTCTTGGTCATTACAACATAGCCTACATAGGATAAGAGCTTGGTGGTGTCCATCTTTACAAATCACTGAGTGATGCAATGAGTAATGATGAGACATAAAATGGCAGCCAAAGTTGTGTTTCCCAACTGCACTCTGCAACTGAGTTTTCCCCCCCTCTTCTTCATATTTATGATTTTCTCTAAATAACTGTAGCAATTTAGCAAATTGGTAACATTAAAAGGATGTAATTAAGTATTTCCATTACTATGGGCAAATAGAACAATTTCACTTAATTTGTGGCTTGAATTAATGAGCATGGCAAACATGGAAGCTTTTAGCTCTGTCACGGTAGAATAAATAACAGACAAGCAATGTGATTATTACTGTTGGTGTTTCTATCAGTAAAGTAACACAGGACATATACAGCTAAATGCAACATAAGAATAAAATGAGGCTGGGCCTTGCCCACACACTTGTACTTTACAAAACCAGGTGAGGTCAGGATATTTTAGTAGTACTTGAAGCACAGGACAAGGTGGCATCTGTCACATCTTTACCTGCAGAGAACCTGACAGGGTTGGTTGTCCTTCAGTGACAACTGAAGAACAGCCAACAAAATGTTGTTCTTCAGTGACAAAATGTTGTTCTTCATTGCAACAGGAGGCAACAGGTTAGCTTCAGGCTGCACAGGGTGCAGCCAACAAAATGTTGTTCTTCAGTGACAACAGAACAACATTTTTTTTCATTGCAGCTGGAGGCAACAGGTCAGCTTCAGGCTGCAGAGGGTGCCCTCTACCCCAGTGGTCCCCAGCCTTGGGCCTCCAGATGTTCTTGAACTACAACTTCCAGAAGCTTTCACCATCACCTCTGTTGGCCAGGATTTCTGGGAGTTGAAGTCTAAGAACATCTGTAGGCCCAAGGTTGGGGACCACTGCTCTACTCTATCACCTAACTTCTCACTGCCACTCAGGGTACAGAAGAAGTCATGTTACTGCCTGACACAAGAGTAGCAAATAGCACACCCATCCATGTCTAGGTGCACACTGTCCAAAACTAGCCAAATGGTTTTGGCAAACATGACAAGTAAGCACTCAAACATCTCCCACTATTTTTAACAGTAAAATACATGTACTGTACCTGTCATTAAGTAACTGCGGAATTGGTTGCCTTTCCAAGACACTCCAAAGCTGCTGCCTAAGCCTCACGCCTCCCCAGCCCTCACACCAGGCTCTTTCCTCTCAACAATGATTCCCCAAGAAGGTAGGTAAGGATGGCCCAGTTACAAAGAACAGTGCAAATAGGAAGTGAACTGGAATTGGGTGGAAAGTGAAGGAGGTGCATTTGAATGAAGACTCAAAAGGTAGAGATAGCTGAACAACTTTGACAGGGCAAAGTAATTGTCTCAGTCAAGCTCTATTATCACTTGCTATTAGGGGGATGAATATCTCTGAATCTCAGTTTCAATGTCCCCGCCCCCTGCTCTGAATTAGCTGAACAACTTTGACAGGGCAAAGTAACTGTGTCAGTCAAGCTCTATTATCACATGAATATCTCTGAATCTCAGTTTCATTGTCCCCGCCCCCTGCTCTGAACCCTACATGCACTCTGTTCTTACCCTTGTTTCACAGCATGTAGCAAGAACCAGCTTTCTCTTGCATTGACATTAACATATATTTTAAATGCATACACATTTCCTGCATTGAAATCAATATACAGTATATTTTAGGCATGTTACCTTGTGTACATATTTTCCCATTGGCTGGAATGTATCTGTGCTTATTTTACAGATTGTGCACATTTTTAGCATTGCTGATGAGCAACGTGCAGAAAAATATGGGCCACTAGGTTTTTAGTGGATTATTTTTTTTAAAAAAAAAGTCTTAAAAATGTCTTCTAGCAGGGGGAATGGAGGAGGAAAAAAAACCTGTGCAGAACGAACAGGTTTTCTATCCTCCTCCATTTCACCTGCTAGAAGACATATTTGAGACATTTTTTAAAAAATAATCTACTAAAAAATAATCTACTAGTGGCTCATATTTTTCTGCTGGATACAGAACTATCTTCTGAAGCTAATGCAAACACAAAATACTAGTTTATTAGTAGAATGATAAAAATGATAATACAGTGCAGATGAGCTGACTAGTAATTGTGCAGGATATTTACAAGAACAATATGATAATAGACAAGAGCTTTTGCTCTTTTCAAAAGAGAAACTAATACATTTGAAATTATGATCAAGATTTAAAAATAAATGGAGTTTGCATACTGATTGTTATATTTCATAATTAACAAATGAGATCACACATTCTCCAGTGGCTTAACAACAGCATCCATGACAAACAGCACACATTTGCTATCAAGCAAAAGCAAAACACAAGCAGGCAAAATGGCAGCACCTCACCTCAAAAGGATGGCAGTAACAAGTCTTAGAAAGAAAAAGCATAGCAGCAGTAAGGGAAGCTAGCAAGCAAAACAATAAGCCAGTTAGAAAGGACTTTATTAAAAGCTGCCTCCCCCCCACCACCACCACCAGCAGCTCAGTTATAGGAGCTGGGATAGGCTGAATCAACACCAATACAACAAAGGGAGATGCTGAATAGCATACATTGGAAGAGGGAGAAATGGGGAGGAGTTCTAAGTCATAAGCCATTTGGGTCTTTAGATGTAAAAAGTACCACCTTCAGTGAAAACCCCCAAAACCAGACCCAGCCCCCCATTTTACACCTGTCTATCTTGTTGGGTCCTCATATCATTATAGTTGCTTCTAGGTTTGTTTTTTCAACACACTTCAACGAAGGTGGGAAAGTGGGGGTGGGCAAAGAAGGTGAATCATGGGGAAGCATAAGAAGGGAAAAAGAAAACAAAAATTCTAAAATGCAAAATAAACCCTTTTGGCTCAGATTTGAGGTGTTCAG